GAAAAAGTAAACTCCCCCAATTTTTTTTTTTTTTTTTTTTTTTTTTTTTTTGTATTATGATTATTTCCAATATGGACATTGTTTTCAAGGAAGGCGCATACGTTGGAGGGCCCCCGCTCGGAGATTGAATGTGGTCCAAGTAATTCCGTCTGCTTCCCTCCCGGGCTTTGCGCAGGTGGTCGCCACTTTGCCCGTCTTCGGCCTTCATTCCTTCGGGGTTCTGATGCTATCTGCGCCACCGGCGTACCTTCTAATCGCACCTCAAAGACACAACCACCGACTCGCTTAGCCACGGAAGGGGCCCGTCTCATTCTGTCGATTTGCATGTCTGACGGTCTTGCACCTTTTTTTTTTTTTTTGGGGGGGGGTGTCATTCACTCTTGCCTCCTTGTCTATCTCTGTGCCTTTGCCCGCCGTCCTCTATTAGACGATTGGATCAGTCAGAGCTTAAAATTTCCACTTTATCACACCGCAGCAAAAGCGGCTTTTTTTTTAGGGGGCGGGGGTATTTTCTCACCCAATTACAGTATCTTCCCACGGCAGTCGTCGTGGACAATGCCTTCGCCTGTGTCTCTAACCTTCTCATTTTAGATAAACATTTGTTCCCCCGTGAGCGCGAGAGTCTGAAGTCATCGCGTTCACTCAGAGTGGATTTGCGGCGAACATTTTTTGTGCATGCTCGGGCTCGATTAGAACGGGACCGACGAGAGCGCTGACCTCCACCAATTGTGAGTCCAGAGCCGATTGGTACTTGAATGTGGGCCACTTGACAGCCAACGCAGGTCCGCCCAAGCTGCACTACGGTCGTTTTTTTGGTCCCAACCGAACAAAAAAAAACCTGATGAAAACCTAAACGCCTTGGTGGAGGTAATCTATCTCCAGAACGATGTTGGACTTTGACGATCGCTGAGAGGCTCACCGAGCAATTATGACGGGATTACAAGATTTACGATTGTTCTTGCACTGCCCGCCGGAGGTATGTTTTGTGGGGTTTATTTGCATCTCAAAAGCGGCCGTACGCGCGCTCATTTTGATCTGGTCTTCAGGGACGCGTGTAAAACACATTCCGAGTCACGACGTGACCTTTTTTCCTCCTGTCGTCAATTTGTCAGCGTCCATCACCTCGCCGGCCCGTTGCACCGGCAACATTTGCATTGAGGGATGGCTACGTTAGCTTTATAGATGCGACGAGTCAATTAAAGGCTTAATGACACGTCGCCGGTGAAGGTCCGGTCGAGTTCGACGCACCCCTGCTCTCAGACGACCAACCTTTATCATCGTTTCCATTTTAAATATGCATGAGCCTTCCCAGTGGGGTTATAATGGCCCGTAGTTACTACGCACCCCCCCCCACCCCCGTCTCAGCTCCCTGCCTCCGTTTGACAAATGGGAAAGTGCGCCTTGAGTTGCCACGGCAACACCTTGCCGGCCCACCTCTGCGAAATTTGTGGAGGTTGTCGTGCGGGGGCCCTCCTGACCTCGCATTCGTACCGATAGACACTCTGCGGAGGGCGCTTTGTAAATGTCACACAGCGTTGTTGCGAATTGACTGCCGCCTTAACGATGATGGCCTCCCACGCCATTTTTTTTTCAATCACTCATAACTACAAATAAGAATGAAAAACAAATAGCGTCACTGTACTTGCTCAGTCATTCTTTAGTGTACCACTAGAGGGAGCCCATGCGCCTTTGGAAAGGGCACTCCAGTGGCGTGATTTTTGACCCCCAGCCGTCCTCATCTTCGTGTCCTTAACGACCCGTGGCTGAGGTTGCTGTAAAAAAAACATCTTTCTGTTCGGCTCCATTTTCATAAATATTACATATCATTTCCTTAGATCAGATCTTTTTTTTTTTTTTCACCCCATGGGAGGGAGGCAGCTCGGCGCTCTCCGAGCTGCCACGTAGAAAAGGTCTCTGACATTTTGGACCGAGGCTGTGATTGATGTGTTTTTGAAGTGCAGCAGGAGAATGTGTCAAAAGCGCCTTTTGTGGCCGCGCCGCCGACGGATCACGCGTCACGGCGTGACGCCCAGCTGCCATCCGCGATATGATGCACTCAGCCTTTCTCCCTATTTGGAATATTGTGGACATTCTCCGCAACTCAGTCAGTCTATGTTGGTGTTTTGATTTTTGGGCTGGTGAAAAAGTCTCACCGACATCCAGGAACCGGATAGCATTAGCATTAGCTCCAAATGTATTTGAAGCTTGTAGTTTGATAACTGTCAAATGTCAAACTGTCCCGTTTCCCACCTCAAGCATTTTCTATTTCCCGCCATTCTTCCTGCCAAGGTGACATTTGAAAAGTGCACTTCCCTCTGCGCTCCGTCAATCTGACCCCCCTCCCCCCCACTCTTCCACGAGCATCCCCCTCCATCTGCTCTCCGCACCTTCTCCCTTCCCACTGACTAGCAATTGCATGATTTCTTTATTTTGAATCATTGAGCCCGAGACTAAATGTACTCCGCAGGCCGCAGTTTGGACACCCCTTTTTTAAAACGCCCAAAAAAATGGCGTGACCGCAGACGGCTGGAGTTATTAGAAATCAAATCTTAACACCTGATGTGTCACATACACTCGCTGACCCCGCCCCACCCCCTACCTCCTCCTCCCCCCCGCCAAAATGTGAAGAGCTGTCAGACTGTCACGTCACAGTGGCGGCTTGTCAACGTTCGTGTCGAGATGATCGATTGAGCTCTCGTTGGGCTGGGGGCCGTAGAAAGTGAGCGGACAGTCGCCTTTTATCATCTTGTCTGCCCACAAGTGTCACAATCAGCGCTTGGGCGACGCCCCTTGTCGGCGGGCCAATTCATTAATCAGCTTTTGACCATCAGCGGCGAAAATTACGCTCTTCGTTTGAAGGTCGCCAATTCATCGCCGGCCGGGGGAAATCGATGATGGCACCGGCGGCTCCCTTGGTTCCTTTTTCCTCCCGCAGGATTCTGTCAGCAAGCCAGGCTGTTCACCGAGCGTATTGGATGTTTAACTTTACATCCATCAAGGGCACGCTGACAAACGCACCATAAACTGTATTGTCAGGCGGCGGCGGGCACACCCAGCACACATCATCTTCTGTTACAAGATAGATGTGCACTTGTAGTAGTCGTAAAAGTCTGCCTTTGACGTACTAAAACTCAGTTTTGATCGACTTTGATCATATACTAGGGCTTGTCATACTTTTTGGGGTCCAGAGAGAGAAATCCAAACATGAATGAAACATTTGGGGGGGTCCGAAGATGTTCAAATTTTACTTATGTGTTTAGGCTGACGGTTTGCCCTTCAATGGCATATCGTTAGCCGAGTAAGTGTTGAGACAATAAAATTCATTTAAAAAATAATCATAAATTAAATTTGCAAAATATTGTTTGCCTGGTATTTTTTTTCGGATTGATATAGTCAAATAAACATGACAAAGCGTCCTTCGAAAAATGGTTGTTTTAATTATGGATTTATGGGGTGATTGACTCATGTACCACCAGAGGGCGCCCAAGGTTCTCTGAGGACGCCTTAATAATCATTGGCCTTAGTCATATTTGACACATTTATTGACAAGTACATTGCTACTTTGTACGATAATACAATAAATGTAATGCACATATATGCCTATATATTTGTATGTGTGTGTGTGTGTGTGTGTGATCCGAGGGGGTCGTTTGATGTCAAAATTCTGCAGTGATCGCAGGAATGTGGAGAAGCCCCCTCCGCCTTAAGATAAGAAACTTTATTGTCTCACAATGGAGAAATTTGCAATGCACTGACTGACTATACATGGGACTATACATGGTCGTTTTTTGGGGCAAAAAACGCCTTACGAGACATGGTTGTTTTTTGGGGGCTAAAAACGCCTTACTATACATGGTCGTTTTTTTCAGCTAAAAACGCCTTACTATAGTATGTCGTTTTTTGGGGGGCTAAAAACGCCTTAATATAAATGGTCATTTTTTTCTAGCTAAAAACGCCTTACTATACATGGTCGTTTTTTTCGGCTAAAAACGCCTTACTATACATGGTCGTTTTTTGGGGGCTAAAAACGCCTGACTATACATGGTCGTTTTTTTCGGCTAAAAACGCCTTACTATACTATGTCGTTTTTTGGTGGCTAAAAACACCTTACTATACATGGTCGTTTTTTTCGGCTAAAAACGCCTTACTATACATGGTCGTTTTTTGGGGGCTAAAAACGCCTGACTATACATGGTCGTTTTTTTCGGCTAAAAACGCCTTACTATACTATGTCGTTTTTTGGGGGCTAAAAACGCCTTACTATACATGGTCGTTTTTT